AATGCCTATTCTATAATCATAAAATATGTTCCTAGAAAAGGTTATGGTTCTTGAATGCCCAGTTTAGTCATCTCCATGCCAGAGAAGCTAAAGTGGTATTGAAAGGGTTTCCCTCCTATGATCCTCAGTTCCATATCTAAATCGAAAATTGTGGCTCAGGAACATTGACCATTTCTAGGAATAGACTTTTTTTATTTATGAAAATCCATTTAGCCTCTCTCTCTCTCTCTCCCTCTGTTTTTTTCTTGCCTCTACAACCAGACCAACCCATGCCCACCCGCAACCCACCACAAAGATATAGTTTTATAACTGTATATTTTCTCTACCACTGTATTTTTATTTTTTTTTTGCAGGTGGCAATGGGCAAGAAAAAAACAGAGGGAGGAGAGGACATGGAGGAGAGAGGGAGAGCAGAGGGGGTGAGAGGGGGTAGAGGAAAAAACAGAGGTAGAAGGAGAGGACAGGGAGAAGAGAGAAAGAGCATAGGGGGCAGCTGGTGGAGAGTAAGGGCAAAGGGGAAGAGAGACGAAGTAGAGGAAGGGGGGTGAAAAGTTGCAGAAAAAAAAAATGGAATTTTCATTAAAATAATTTTTTTTTATCCACATGTCACAATGTGATTGGATATGTGGGCTCTACTTATCTTCCACATCACACTTAACAGCATTTCTAACGGCAGGGACTATTTATGATAAAAAGCCATAACGTTAAGGACTATTAATGTCACAAAAAAACCTCAAGGACCATTCGTGACAATTTTGTAAACGTCAAGGACCATTTGTGATAAAAAGCCTAAAATAAAATATAAAAAAGCCGACATTCAAAAGTCCCATTTTGGTTTAAATAAAAAAAGACTTGAAAGTTTCCTCACAAACCTATAAATACCAAATCCAATCCCAAGGGAATTCCCCCTGAGAATTGAGACTCAATCATTTCATCATCCGCAATCACAAAATGGAACAGATGTTTGACAAATTTTTTGACTCCATCGCTAACCTTTTCGGCGGCGGAGATTCGATCCCCTGGTGCGACCGCGACGTCATCCACGTAAGTGCACACTACAAACCCCCTAATGCTCATTTTCTGTTTGTTTCCCGAGAAAATGAAGAACCCTGAAGGAAAAACGAAACAGAGATCTGGGTTCCTATTTGTTCAGCCAATCCAATTCGGTTTGGTTTTTGTTTGCTTGAATTAAAGACGCTTGAGTGTTTGTGAATTGTGGGTCAGGGGTGCGAGAAAGAAGTTGCGGAGGCCAACAAGGGTGACTCAGATGAGCAGAAGAGCGAAAGCATAATGAGGTTATCATGGGCACTTGTCCACTCAAAGCAACCAGAAGATGTGCAGCGTGGAATTGCCATGCTTGAAGGTATTATCATTATTCCTATTAATATTTCTAAACGTTCAATGCTGCAAGTTTTTACTTTTTAGGTAACAAGCATATTGAACCATTGGTGTTGTCAATTCATTTCACTTCTTTTTAAATTTCCCTATCGTCTCGATTTTGATTCTGTACATGTCTTTTTCAACCATAGAATTCCTGATTTTTTTCACGGGTTATTCATTATGAGTTTTAATTAATCTTCTCTAATTGCTCGTCATGGTTTTAGTTATACAACAAAAATTCTGTGTAAAATGTAGGCCAATTTGGGAGCACTTATGTTTTTTATTTTTTTTATTAAAGAAAGAGAGGGGAGAGGGAGCTGAAAAGGAGAAGAGAGATATGAAGGAGAAAGGAGGCTGAATTTATAAAATCTCACATCTCTAGTTTTTCTTCTATTTCTCCTTTTCTCCGTCTTCTAATATTAAAACAAACAAGAAAATAAAAATAACATTTATCAAATCTGCCGGCAATTCTTTATATTTTGCAATGGTTTGACAGCCTTTTTAGAATTTGTATGCCTAAAGACATTCAATCAATTCTAAGCTAATGGAACAATCATTTCTGTTGCTCCTTTGTGTGGGGTATTAGACACTGCAGGAATAGGAAAGACTATTATGAGGGCTCACACTGTCATGGATCTTCCCACTTTTCACCCTATTGCTCTTCTGTACAACAGTATTGATGGTGATTGTACACTTTCATAATGCATGCCTTCTTTTTTCCTGATTCTTACCAACAAAATTGTTCTCCCGAGAAATTCATTAGAGTATCTTTTTCTACTTCATTCTTTCATAAGAATTTGGAACTAGGCCCTCCATGCCACAAGAAAATTTATAAATTACAAGACGCTGAGCCCTTCTGGATTTCTAGTAATGATTACTTTCGCACAAAAAAAAATGTCATCAATCTTATATTTAATTGGTTAGTCTTTTCAATATTAAAAAAGTTAAATTACTAAATATATTTTCTCTTGTATTGTGATTGTTTCTTGTTTTGCTTTTAACTGAAGAACTTTCGTTCTAGCTTGTAGCTGATCCTTGAGTTTCCAATATTAGATACTGGCAGTGTAGGTTTGCATTCTCTAGTGGTTTCGACAACCTAAAATTGTTCATTTAAAAATACTGAAGAATATGATTTTGTACAGCTTCATTGGCCAACACTAGCTCCCCTTTGCATCAGAGAGAGAAGCTTTACCTTCTGGCTGTTGGATACTACAGAACTGCTGAATATTCAAATAGTCGGCATCTTGTGGAGCAATGCTTAGAGGTTTGTTCTTATTTTTCGTTTCATTTGCACCTAATTTTCCGGCACCCTTTGGTGGCATTCATCTCTCTTTTCTGCGACATGTTCATGTGTCTCTTACATTTAGAATATGGTTGGCTGACCATCATTCAGTGAAAATCTGCTATATATAGGTGGTAAGTTTAAAATGTGTCGTCCTTTTCTAAAATTTTGATTGCGTGCTGTGTGCTTGTGCATATATTGTATTAGCTTCTTTTCAGCATGGTGTAATTTACTTATAGTTAATTATCTAATTCTGTACTGTAACTATAATATCTCTGTGGACTTAACCTTTAGCTGCTCATCTATTGTAGTCTTACAGACTAGACTACTATCCTCCTTTTCACTATACAAATGAGTTGCCTTCAGCCTGTTGCAATTTTAATTTCTACAATTCCTACCAATGATTCGTCCTAATATTGTTTTAAAATTATTTTTTTTAACCTTTTTTCTTTGTTTTGCAGATTGCTCCTGATTGGAGACAGGCTCTGACCCTTAAGAAGACTGTTGAGGATCAAATTGCTAAAGGTATTGAGTAGTTTTCTTTTTCTTTTGGTTTTGACTGCACTGTAGCACTAAAATCAAGGAATTGTGAACACATTGCTTGGAATGCAGATGGCTTAATTGGAATAGGCATTACTGCTAGTGCTGTTGGGCTTATAGCAGCTGGGATTGTTGCAGCGCTGGTTCGCAGGTGATGAGCACAAGCCAACAATGTTCATAATGACTGGCTATTACTTACAAATTTCAATTTTCCCCTGAAAAGAGAAGGTTCCGAATAATCAGACTGAGAATAGCTCAAAACAAATTCTGCACTTTGACTACTTTTTTTTCTGAAAAAAAAAATCTTTTAAATTTGATATTTTTTGTGCAAATGAATAGGTTTTTCCCTCATATTATGTTGTTAATCAGTTGATAATGCTTAGCTTACATATATTCTGCCATTATTTCGGCATATGTACCTTGCAAATATGTATGGAAAAATTGTGATTTTATGTTATGTTGTATATGTTGCCTTGTTGCTGTTAAAAGGAAGTCTCAATACTCTTCAACAAATTCCACGGAAACCCAATATGCCTTTTTTTTTTGGTGGGTTGTTTTGGGCATCCGAAACATTATTAAAACAACTTAATACGAGGAGCTTCATTGCTCACACAATAGGCGGGCCTGATCAATTCATGCGAAGAGCAACAACTTGAATGCAAGTGTAATTAACAGGTTTCTACACATAGCCATGGAGGCTTGAATTGAGACAACCAGTCAAGGCTCTTTTTCATTGGGTATACCGTTGGCTTAACAGGCTTTTGATGAAGCTTAAATTTCAAATAATAAAAGATGTAGGAATGATTGTCCACCTAAAGGATAGAAGGTAACAGATTTCCCTCCACAGAAAGAGAAAGCAGGGCTCTTGCCACCAGAAAACATCACAAGGGTCATTGTAAAGTAAATCAAATGACTGATGACATGTTTCATTGCAAAGTAAATCAAAATTTCCATAGTTTTATTAAGAAAACTCTATTAATAAAACCACAAAGGCAGGGCTCTTGCCACCAGAACACAAGAAACTTCAAGGTTCTTACTTTTGAGAGCATATTAATAAAACTATATACAAGAAAGTTTTCCATCAAATTGAACTCTATCTAAATAAAAATTTCATTGTTAACGGATCAAAAACAAAAGTAGCAAAACTAATGTGACCACAACTTGTGCAACAATCATCGGATCAACAAAGAAACATTGACCAGTTTACCAGTTGTCCAATAACACAAAACTATATATATTTATACAGAGGCAATCATACAGCAATAAGTCTACTGGTGCATTACTTCGAAGTGGAAAGAGCTGTATGCAGTACATCTTCAAAATACTTTTCCGCAGCAGCATATTGCCTTTTCTTGTCCTCGATTGCTAAAGCAGCCAAAGCTTTATCCTGCACACATGCATATCTGATAAACCTAACAATATTTGTAGGACCTAAACAAACTGTGATCAATTAACCAAAATAGGAAAGTACAGGAGGCAAATCTTGGTAGCTTCTCAAAGTATCAAGGACTGGCTTTGTCTTCTTCTCTAATTCCTTCCGCTCCTCAGCCAATCCAACCAACACTCCATGGCTAATATCTGGGGTGTAACCCACACGGTTAAGAGTGTCCTGTCCAACATGTTTACACAACAACTCTTAGTCAAATTAAACACAGAAATGTAGGCCTTTATTTTAACTGCATAACCAAATAATAGGCTGACAAAATACATTCCTGCAACTTCAGTACGGAATTTCAATAAACTAGCCAATAGAGACTGATGATCAATTATCACTCATTTTATACCATCCACCAAGCAAAAAATTTACTTTTCCTTATACAGGACACAAAATCATGGATTTCTTGCCACATTCCACCTATAGTGTGATATCCTTCCTCAAACTAAGGCAATCACCCAAGGGTTAGAATGCCTTGCTAAGCTGCGGCAGGTTAAAATCCCAAATTTCTTATCAATCATCACCATTCATTAAAAAAACCCCACCTTTCTTTATGATCAAGGCAATGCAGATGCCCATTTTTTCAATACCCTGATTATTCCTGTGTTCCAGCATTGTTGGACATTGGCTTGCATTCAGAAACCAACCAATATCCAACTTCATGCAACTTGAGCTTAATCAGAACTTATTTCCACAATTACACAGTTGGTAATTTTATAAGATTTTGGAATATGTATCACAATCTATGCACCATTGAAATACTTTTCTTTGTCCAACTCCCAATCATACTCTCACCTAGTCGACAATATAAATGGTGGTGGGGGGTATTTCTTCAGTTGTGTGTGTGTATTTAAACCACATCTGCAAAATGGTCCTAAAGTATAGAGCTTCATTTTAGATTATATAATAGGTAATGCGATTTGGTCTATACAACTACTCTTAGATACTGATGCTCAAGAAATCCACCCACGTTTAAACAGGAGGAAAGAGGAATTGGACCTAAAAAAGCAAGAAAAGTAAATAAATACCTTAAAGCGGACAGTTTCTTGGTTGTATTGTTTCTCCTTACCAAGCATCAGCGCCAAGTTGTTCTTCCAATGCTCAATGTGTGCCTCACATTGACCTGCATCATCTTCTAGTTGGGCAAGTGTTCTGCATAAGTTTGAAAACTCAACACATTCAACAAATTCATACTCCTAATTTTTACAATTCTTGCAACATATCCAACAAGATCTTACCTTTTCAAATAAGTTAACCTGGAAATCGCCTTTCGAGTATAATCAAGAAGAACATTGGACTCTTTTTGCGCTTTAGCTCTTTTCTCCTCCACACCCGTCTTCCTCAAGGATATATCCCCCATCGCCACAAGAAAACTAAAACCCAGAATTCTTATGTCAACCCAGTATTCAAACAACAATGTAAAAACCCAAATCTCTTATGTCAGACCAGCATTCAAACAACAATATAAAACCCAAATTTCGTATCTCAGCCCAGTATTCAAACAACAATGTAAAACCCACATTTCTTGTGTCATCTCAGTATTCAAACAACAATGTAAAATCCACATTTCTTAACACAGTGTGAGCTCAATGAGTCAGTATTCAAAGTAAAACTTAAAACCCAAAATTCAAAAACGCACCTGCTTAGCTCAGTGTCTCTTATATTCAACAAATTGGCTACATTCGCTAAGACCTGAGCTGAAGACACCACGTTTGAAGCCAAACCCTCTTGTGCCAAACCAACACTCTCCAATATCTCTCCGATCCTCGCAGCTAACACCCACAAAGAAAAAATCAAAATTTTGTTTGAAAAAGAGAGGATATATACAAAATATACAACATAAACAACACATATGGAGATACAAAGAGAACATGAACAAGAGATTTTTTGCGTTGGGTTAAAAGGGGATACCTTGGGCTCGGTATTCGGAGGCTTTGAGGCGGAAATCGGAGGCGAGGATCTTGGAAGCTTGAGTTTGAGCTTGGGAGAGAGTGGCAAGGTTGTGTAAATATGCCACCGAACGAGGGGTATATTCGAAATCGGGCACTTCTTTTCCGGCTTGGGAGAACTCTTGAGTCAGCCATTGCTTTACCTCTCCGATTCGAGATGCGTCAGACCCACCGCCACCTCCGCCGCTCTTCGACGTCGTTTCGTTTACCGTTGGATCGGTCATTGTGTGGAGGTAACCGCTGAGTCGACTCAGTGCACCGTTGGTTCGGTAGGTGGCTTTAGATTTTGATTTGAAATAAACTTAAAACTTCGACGCATACTCCCACTTTAACGGGAGCATTTGTTATATTCATCACCACCATACACGTGTCAATCGGCATAACTAATTAAATACAAATGTCAATCGGCATAATTAATTAAATACAAAGTAAACAATTAAATATAGTTATATTCATAAATACATATCAAATATTAAGAAAGATAGTGATAATACACCTTGAATTGCAAGAAAATAAATAAAAACCCCGAGCAAAAATATTTTCTATTTAAATAGATGTTTGGGTGTTGGACTGATAAATGCAAGAAAATAATAGATGTTGGGTTGCATGTTGAATAAATTTGATCAAAATAACTTAAATCTTCAAATGATGGTCGTTGAATCTTCTAAAACCACCATTGAAGAAACGATGATTGGGTCTCCAAATTCACCCTTGAGAACAAGGGTGTGACTTAAGGGGAGGGAATTGCTACATGTCCTTTTTAGTAAGTAATTTATCTCTTAGATTTTAATTTTCTTTTCTGATTGGAGTCTTGCCAAGTACATTGAGGCATCATGACTAATATGATTAAATTAATGAAGGATAATGGTATGGTGAGCAAAATTGTCATGTTATGATAAAACAATTCGTTTTGGACTTAAACATTGTGATTTTAAACTGATGGTTTGAGGACTTATTAACATTAACCCAGAAGCTTTTCATGCAGGCCACTCAAACAGGCCGGCTGCAGCCGAAAGAAGCACACCTCCCATCTTGCTTACATAAGCATTTTGTTGCAGAACTTTTATTTAGAGCTACACTTCCATTCACTTGCTGCCCAGAGATTTGGAAACTATGCATCATATTGCTCTTGCTCAGTTCAGTGCCTGATGTTTTAGTGTCCATGAGTGAGATAATTTAGGGTTTTTTTTTATCATGAATGGTCCGTGTATTTTTCCAAACGCATCATTTTAGTCCTCATTCTTCAAATTCGATCAATGTCATCACATTTGTGATAAAATGTGAATAATCTAGAACTACAGACGCTCAAACATGCCGCTCACGTGAGCAATACTCAAGCATTCATCGAGCTAATGTTGAAACAAGAAATAAGTTCTTTTTTTATAAGGAAAACAAGAAACAAAATAAAAGACGGATATTTATCAAGGTTACAGATACAAGAGGCCACAAACTAGAAACTAGAAACTAGAAACTAGAAACTAGAAAGAGCGTCATTCCTCAAAGGATATGATACAAATGAGCACCCAGAAGAAAAAGGCGTCACCAGATGCAACGGTATGTAACATGTGACTCGGTTATATCACCAGTATAGGTAACTTTCACTACCTGCCCCTTCTCAAGTCCATAGTACTGTGCAATCGCATCTTTTCTTGACAGTCGGGGAAGCTGCAGGAAGAACAGTTGATGAGATTACGACAATGGAAACATTACAGTCTAGTTACCAGCTATACGCCAATCAACCATCTACACGAAATGTAATGGTAATATACAATTTAATAAACTAAAATGCAAACATTCGGTACATGATTGTACAGAATTTCCATTGTAAAGTCTGGAGGGGAGAAAGTGAAAGAGAAAGAAGATTGTGCTAGGTGACTACTATGCTTGCAACCTTACCACAAGTTGGTTAACTTGAAGGCATAAAGGCAAGCCTCTAATATAGGTCTAGAGGACCAAAAGAGATATTTGAGTCCTTAGATTCGGGTCAAGGAGACTAGTTTATCATTTGAGTTTGCTCTACATAATATAGGTCTATAGGCACAAAGTATTATCAGTTGCTAGGGATGGCAATAAGCCATCTCAGCTCAAGTTCCTAAAGAGAGCAATAGAATGAGAGATTCACACATTGATCAAAACTAACTTTAGAGAATTCCTTCAATATGCGGCCACATAGAATACAATGTTCTTGAATGTGTTTGTGTGTGAATGTGTGTGCATACTTGTGTTTTGGTCCCTACATCTATTAAATGTTTCAACTTACTCCGTGCAATTTCCATTGTTTCAATCAAGCGTTCCCTATCTTGGATGCATCAAAGATATTAAACAGAAACTTTTGTGGTGACTAATTTGACATTGCTATTTTCTTTACTTAAAATGGAATTAATACTGATTACATGACATAAAAATGGGTTCAACCCAATTCACTACTTTGAACAATCCCTACCAGCCACCCACAGATAAAGTCATAGCACTCTTTTTTAACTCCATATCATAAGTAATTTTAAACGATAGAGGGCATACCACAGCCCAAGTCAGATTAGCAATTCAAACTCATTCAAGATTATTCAAAAATTAAGAATGACATGAACGATCTCCAAAGAAAGCAAATTAGTGGCTGGTTTTTCTTTACTCGAGTTAATACACTAACCTGGTTTTCTTCTATGTTGTACTTCTTTAGGAGTTTTTGTTTCTCTTGTTCAGTCAGTACATGATGCTTTGGCTTCAAGACATGCTTTGTGATATTAACAAGCAAGTCAGTAATCTGAGAAACAAAGCCAGAAATAGAAATATGAGAGTGAGAAGAAGAGCTTCCAAGGGAGTGAACCATTAAAACTATCGATAATAGGCAGAAACACTTGTACAGTGTTCAGTAAATGTTTCAGTAGAAATGCTGCCAATAAAATAACCAAATAAAGGTAGGTTAACTAGGAAACAGCAAAAGGCAGAAGCAACTATTAAAAAGCTATTGTGAAATGCTTTTCAAAAGCATCTAAGGAAACAACAAAAAAGCAACTATACGTACCTTGGTCATCATTTCCAATCACATTATTATAAATTTCTAAAAATTGTATATATAGAAATTAAAATTTTCAAAACATGCAATTGACCTGCGTAAATTGCATTTCCCTTTATCCTTTGTGCCTAAAACTTGCAAAATAGCCAACTGTATCAATGCATTTTGATCCGTAAACAACACTAGTTCATCAATTTTACTTCTAGGAGGGTGGCTATAATGCCTCTTGAATCATAAGCCATCTATAAAACTAACCTAGAAAATCAGAAACAGAATCAAATATAATTATCCTGCGGGACTCGTAATGTTCAAAAAAAGGAAACGTAAATTTCCCTTTATCTTAAATTGAATATATAAATTTCAAATTTCCAGATTTGACCTCCGTAAATTGCATTTCCCATTATCCTTTGTGCCTAAACTACAAAACAGCCCACTGTACCAATGCATTTTAATTCTTAAACAACACTAGTTCATCAGTTTACTTCTAGGAGGATGCCTATAATGCATCTCCAATCATAAGCCATCTATAAAGCTAACCCAGAAAATCAGTAAATGGAATCAAATATAATTATCCTGCAGGACTTGCAAAAAAAAAAAAAAAAAAGAAAATTCAAAAGATCAGCGACATTAGGAAACAAACCTGGAATATTTCAGTTTTAAATGGATAAAGTTCCATAGTTTTTAGAGCTTGGCTTGTTATTTGGTTTTGGGTAATTAATATGAGCCCATTCAAAGTGTCTTTATTAGCAATCTGAGAATGCAGCCCACGAATCACATTAACCTTCACGATACCAGGCCCGCAGTAAATGACCATTATCTGCAATTCAAACATTAATCATAAATAACAATTGCTCATAAGTTATTACTAGCATCATTACACCAACTTTCAGTGAAGAGCAAGGAAAATACATCACAGCCACTGTTTTTTCATTTTTCGGGTACCCATGCATAACAGTTTTACAATTCATTCCAATGGTAAATGGAAGGAAGTCGCCTTGACTCAAGTGTAAGTGGAATTGTAGAAGTAAGTGTGGTTGAGCAGTCAAATCTAATCTGGATAAGTAAAGTTAAGCAGTCTTCGAAGTCCCTATGCAACTCATTAACATCATATCTATCCCTGGACTCTTTCTCCACTTCCCCTGTAACACAGGACCTTTCAGAAGTTTCAAGGTATGTCTAGTATGAATAATTGGCCACATCATTTATCATATACTAGAATATGACACTAGCGACTGATACCAACGCATGACAGCATACTAAACCATCCACTTAAAGCATTGCAGAATATGATAAATTTTCTATCAAAGGGAACAACCTAACCAGTGAGCGATAGAAAAAGAAGAATAGGAAAAAGTAGCTTCCAGAGTCTACAGGATCAGACATCTAGAAGAGTAAAGGAATCACTTTGCAACATGGTACAAGACATCCAACTCAAACAAGCTCCAATATATGAAACAAACACTCCACTCTCATCTCCAAACTAACCACATGGAACTGCTTCCCAAACAACAAAGAGATGCTAAAACGCATTAAACAGATCTAATCACAAACTTCTGAAAACCGATAAAAATTGATTAGCAAATTAGCAAAACCTCGATTTTCACATCAAGTCATTTCTTATCCTCCAAAGGCAAAGCTCGCATCTTTTCTTTTCAAATGATTTTTGTCAGTTCCTTAATTTTACATCATCCACTGTAGTTTTCACATCAAATTAAGCTAACCGTGGCCTGGTAAACATCTGTTTACAAGTTACAACTAAGCATGCATGCACAGGTTGTACTGAGATATCTCAAAACAGAAAAAGGCCACCAAACAAATCTACGGCACTAAATCAGCCTTGCTTCTTCTTTGAGGACCGTAGACCTAAAATTCGGAAACGAAGCATGTATCCATGATTAGCAGAAGTTAAGGACTAGATAGTAGTTTGGTCAGCTTCACAAGGATCAATATAGGCCGAACTCAACAAGAAAACACTATAAATTCGAGATAATTCTAATCAAATAAGAACATGCATCCATAGATAGAGCATTTATATGACATGCAAAGTAAGATTGTCATGGTCAACCCCAGGTTGCAGCCATATTAGTTCACCAACTGGAACAACTTTAAAAGTTACCAAAACAAAAGTGTAGACAAATATAGCTAAACCCCAATTGCTTGCCCAAACCTCAAAATTTCCAACTTTGTGAACCATATAGATTTCAAAATCCTTAACATAATTAATCCCAAGCACAACAATGAAGAAAAAGAAAACGACCCAGAACCAGAAATTCTTCTTTCTTTGATTTCTTCCATTCTCTGGTCAATGCAAGAAGAAAATAAAAGAAATTCAAGAAAAAGAGATAGAAACCATTAAAGGTTACTGTTTATTTACCCTGTCAGTAGGGTCAGTGCGATGAGTAGCGGAGAAGCGGAGGCGCTCAACATCCGGATTCTGGCCGTGACGGGCTCGAAATTCTTGGAGAGAGAGGTCGATTTCTGGGCTTGGAACAGAATAGCCTCTGTCCCTTATCATCTCCAGCACGGTTCTGCGTGACAGGTAGTATCTGTGGCTCTCTGGGCTACCGTCGTCTACATAACCAGTCAAGCAAGGCCCTAATATCTCTCCGTTGGCATCGCCATTCGCCTCTGCGTCACCTTCCATCTCTCCCTCTCTTCTCTCTGTTGGATTTTCCTGAGTCCTCCTGAGCCTGACTGACTGTGAGAGAGAAAGTGCACTTGGGTTTGGGGCCCTGGGAAGTGTGCTGGTATGAGGAAAACGTCATGGATCTACCATGGGGTTTTTCGGCAAATAGTCACATTTGGTCCTTTTTTCACTTTCGTCCCATTAATTCAAATTTTGTCCATTTTTCCATTGTAATTTTATAATTGTAACAATTCAAGGACATATAAGGCCATCTCCAACCCAAATGGGGCTAAACTCAAATTTCTCCCCTTAAAAATACAACTATTCATGTATTGCCCGGACTCAAATTATTTTTTCCTCCAACCATGCATACTCATAATTTGAGTCCGCCACTTTATTAACTTGTTTAAAAATGGTTAACCCTAAAAAAAAAAATTTGGTTAATTTTTCTTAACATTATTTTTATTTCAACATTTGTGATTTAATTTTCTAAACATTTTAACCTAAAAAAAATTCAAAATCCAAAACATAATATAATTTCACTTAAAAATCAAAATATATTAAGATAAATGATAATCACAAAATTATTTTGGGTTGAATCTGATTTAGAGTAATAATAAAAATTAATTTTGCCGTTGGATTTAAGTTTCAACCATTGGATGTGAATTTTTCCCATTGAGATTGCTTAAAAATATTCTGGGCATTGATTATATGCAGAATGAAAAAAAAAAAATTGACACATCAACTTAATGTAGCCCGTTGGATTGAAACAAATAGTTGTTCTAGGCTTGACAAGTGGCGCAAGCAACATGGGCAAGTTGGTGATAGGTGGTCCATGTAGCTGGGGTCTTCACGTGGCTCCTTGGTTTGATGCGAATTGGGCCCCACTACAATTCTGCCTGGACTGGAAAGCTGGGCCAAATACCGCCCCACATATCAGTTTGCCTAAATTCTACCCCCTCCCTCCCTGGGAGCTTCTATAGTGAGGGGAAAGTTATAAGGGGTTTTTTTGAGGGGTATGTTAGAGCCGTTGGATTTCATCCAACGGTGAGTTTTTAAAAGAGGGTGCATGTAGAACCGGGTTGAAATCTGACCCGTTGGAAACCCAACTTCAATTGAAGATATTTCCCTCTCTGAAAAATTCAAGAACACAATCCTCTGTTTTTTAATGTAACGCAAACCCAGAATTAGAAAGATCCAAAGCTCCCAAACCCTATAGTCGCTCCATTGTCATCAGCTCCTTGGGAGGCCTGCGATCTATGGCATCCTCGGTATGACGATTAATGGCTCTTATCTAGCTATTGCCCTGTTTTGATTCTATGGCTGAAGTGAAAACCCCTTCTCTTTTTCGTTCAGCACACGAGATTCCAGATGAAAGCAAAGTAGCATATCTGGTTCTGTAGCTAGACGCCGCAGCAGCATTTGTTCCTCGATTGTGGTAGAGATGGAGTCTCCACTACCAAAGAGTCTTCTCTAATGTCCACCACATTCTCTTAAGCTGATTGACTTCGGAGCTCCCGCTTGAGTTTGAGAGGTAAGTTTACTGTTGCTGGATTGATTTTATTGGGTTTGGTTTGTTTTTTGTGAGGGTGAGAAATTCGTCATTTGTGGCATCAATAATGCGTCATTTCTGCGGTCAATAATGTGTTATTCTGCCGTCAATAATGCGTCAGTTTTCTGTCAATAATGCGTCATTTCCTTATGAATATTCAATATATTTAGTTGATTGTTTTTGGTGGGGGTGGGAAATTATAAAATGTAGGTAAAAGATCCTAAACTTAGGCTTAATGGCATTAGGAGTAAGCATTTGGAGAGGATATTGGGAGAAGTTCTGTAATTGCTGGTTTGAATTACATTTGTGTTCTTAGTTGAACATGTTGGTTCTAATGTTATTTTTTTCCAGATTATTGCACAAGAGATGACGTAACTATTATTAAATTTTGTGTAATAATGGCTCTTACAAACAAGCTAGGCTATGCGTCTTTTTTGTGTCAATTTGGGCAATGTTTTGTGTAAGTGGAATGCATTGATATGTTGTAATGCAGTAATGATTGATTAATGAATTAATATTTGCTATGCAGTGATATAGAAGTAGTTCAAAAATATATGTGGGTAAAATGTCTGGGGGCTCAGAGAGTGATGATTGTGTAACAGCTAATGGGATGGTTTACATTCCTGAAGTAAGAAATGAGGAAACACCAGCGGTTGGGATGAAGTTCGACTCGCTTGACCTCGCTTATAATTTCTATAACAGATATGCATTCTTGGCTGGCTTTGGTATTCGACTTCATTCCAGCTTTCGGGGGACATATAAGAAAGAGATTCTGAGGAAAGAATTTGTTTGTTTCAAACAATGTGCATACAGGAAAGATGAAACTCGGGAGAGAAAAAGACAGCGGGGAATAAGTAGATGCAATTGCAAAGCTAAGATTGTGGTTGTGAAGACAAATGGGAGCAAGAAGTATGCCATCTCTCTTTTTGCAGAGGGACACAATCATAAGATGACAGCCTCAGAAAGAGTGCATTTATTGAGATCACACCGTCGTATTTCGGATTCTACAAAAGTACTTACAAAACAGTTGGGTTCGGTTAATATCCCCATTCATCAGAAGGTAA